TTCAGTGGAGACAGTAACAGCGAGAGAGTCGAGGGAGGACAAGTAGAGTATGATTGATCGTGGTGAGCAGTGTGTACCTCTCACCTCCCCCCCCTGATTACTGCCTGCTCCTGATCTCTCACATCTGTCTTGACTTCCTAAAGAAAGCGATTCCCAAGATGTGATACTTTTCACTCTTGGGAATAAAACTTTGTCTTACATCCTGCTTTACATTTGTGTAGTAATACACATGGATGGAGTGTACACTGAAGTTACAGTTGGTGAAAGGTATTGACATTTACATGTTAGTGATTAAAGAAAAGGAAGCTTCTCAGTTTGGACGTTTATCACCTCGTATTATTCCAGCTCGTCCACAACAACGCACTACAAAGTCACCGGCTAAATTCACTTCTGTCCCACAAACACGTTGGGGATGTATCAACTCTCTAATTGTGCATTTAACATTCTTAACTGTTTATTAGTTTACCTCCCACACTAACACTTGAAATGATTTAATAACCACAGAGGGAGTTAACTACACTCATTAGCAGATGCAATATTTCCTACATAGTTATCTACCTTTGAAGCGCAAAACTGTATGTGCAGTTTGTTTTGGGATGTAACAATGTGCATTTACTCAAGTACTGTACAATTTAAGGGTACTGTACTTTTCTCCTGCTGTATTATTTTACTCCACCATAAGTCAGGGGATAATGTTGTACTTTTTTCTCCATTAAATGTATTTGAGAGCTACATGCTTTGCATATCAATTACCTTTTTACATTCAAAAAAAATATGATCAGCTCATTAAATATGACACATTGTTGTAGAATTAACTTATCAGCAGTATAAAATCTACTAACAAATGTGTTCCCTCTCGACCCCCTACAACAGTAATAATGATCCATAATGAGGACATTATTTATAATGGAGGTTTTTTTTTGCTTTGATACTTTTTCTTAAGTTACCCTTCATTGTCGAGAAGACACAACACCTGATATTTTGAATTTTTAAACATATATCAGAATTTTTCAAAGGCACCATTCCTGGATGTGAGTTTACGACACAAAACCCAGAGAGCAGATTCAACACATATTCATGCTCCCTCTCTCTGCTCTCACGTGTGCAACCGTAATGAAGACAAAGTGCATTCACACCAGCGACAAATACCAGGAAATAAATAAGAATAAAATATCCAAACCCAATGAAAGACTGTTCATAATTTGGTTAGTAATGTCTCTGGCACCGTCTGCTCGGCCATTTCCTCCAATCTCCCCGAGCAACAGGGGATTATACAGGCGGCGCTCAAACCAGGAGGTATCTTGCTGCGGTGTGACAGGCTGCCATCACCAGGCTCGCTCCAACATTCTTTCACCGTCTCCAGCTCCAATTCTGATACGAGGAAGCTCAGAGAAAAGACGAACATCATCTGCAGATGTAAAACACGCAGCGATTCCACAAATCTTTGAATGATTTGTGACCCCTTTGTGGACAACGAAATTGTGAAATCATGCACCCATAACTTCTCACTTAATCTGTATTACTCTCATCACAACAGAGCAAGCCACTCTATCAGTAAATGCTAATCTCCTAATTAACAAGCTAATTAGGCAATTACAGCTTTGCAGAAGGATGCCTAAATGAAATATGACAACACAGTCACTTTCTACAGCACCTGTGGGTCTTTTCAAATGTCACAATGAGAGCCATGATGACAAAGTGTTGTCTCTACACTCGTAGGTGCTAATTCCTGTGCCTCGCTTAGCTCATTTGTAAAAATATTGTCATTTTATTCAACCCATATGTACAGTCTGTGTGGAGGCAACTTGTGAAATTCCAATTCCAAAGAACTGACCTGCAGCATTTTCAGGACTTTGTGTATTTACAGCAATATGATTTTAGAAATGGAGTGTACAGAATGCAGGGGAAAACACCACCTCTTGGTTATGTAAACAAGGTTATGTGAACTAGTAGCGCCACAGTGTCTTACTGTCGGGAGCTGTCACATATGGAAATGAATTATGTTGACATATGGCTGAAAACAACGGTGAACAGACCTGCTATGCAATGCAATGAAGAATCATGCACTGCAACAGAGGAGAGGAGCTGAAGCTGTACCTTTGAGCCCCTCTTGACAGGTATGTAGTGTGACTTGACAGCTCAGTATTTCAATGATAAATGCAGTAGTCCTGGGACTCCCATTCACTAAACTCAAGAGTGTGTTGCTCCAATACTTCAAGGTCAAATGAATGAGCAGAACCACACAGACTGCTAAAGACAATCTGTATTTATTTTTTTTCAAATGTTAAAATCTTGTTATATTACGATTATCAACTTAAGAGTTTAACACATATGGTCATATAAACTGTGTCTGTGTGCATCAAGTTGCTTGATAATGACAAATGCATGATGCAGAGCTTTTAATCTATACAACTATTTGTATTAATTTATTTTGATTCTATTGTAGATCAAATTAAATGTCATCTAGTTCCTGGACTGCAAATTGAAAAAAAAGGACAGGTAGCAGCAGGGTAATGTTCTCCTCCTTCTCTAGTGAGGGGTTTGAAGAGTTATTTTAAGAAATGAATCACTGTAGCTACGTTTTACCAAAAGGTGCTTCCTTTTCTGAAGATTAATCCAATCACACATTTCTGACTCAAAAAGATGAAACCTTTCCTGAGACCTGGTGGCCCACAATCGATCTATTCTTTGTACTGACCAAGAAGAACATACAGTATTTCAGAGGATCGCTGACTAATACCAGGTCCATATTATAATGGGTACACTTAACTCAGTATTCTTAAGGAATAATATTTTTGTAACAATGAGAAAATTAAATGGAATTTTCTGAAAATTGTATTCGATTTTCAATCGCAATTGGAGATCATGTCCGTCTTTTCTTTACAGAGAAAGGTGAATTAAACTCTACCATGGGTTGTACTGTGTGTAACATCACTGTGAGAACACTGAATACCGTGGAATAATTACCATAAAGGAATTAGGACTTCCATGTCAGAGATATTTTTTTTAAATTTTTCATAAAACCAGTAGCTTTCTGTCAAAAAGTTGACGCTGTGCTTGCACTTAATCTCAGTGTCACCCTGCAGGTGTGTTTTCTTTTTACTTAATTTCAGTGAAGAGGATAAACTATTTTTTTTACTAATTTCACAATCCTATGAATATTATTTGCCCCGTTTATGTTTTTCTCTATTTTGTATCAATCAAAAAGTTTTCTTTCTTTTGCTGTAAAGCCAAATCTGACCCAAAGAGACAGTTACAGACTGCCCGTGATGCCCAATGATGCTTTGTCGGTTTGTTGATGGTGTTAAAAACATTTAATACGCACAACATAATCAACAGGCTGAATAAAACTACTACCGGTAACAAGACCTCTGAAATATTAAGATTTTGGGCTGTGGGGGGATTTCCACAGAATGTGCTCACTGCCATCGTGACTGCAAAAACAATAAAGTTATTTCTTCCCCAGCTGATCCGGTTCCTCAGAATAAACTGCAGTCCACGAGGATGACGTTTGACAGGACTTCTGTTTAGCTTGTCAGCGTGCTGCATTATAAGAGAGGAATGAGACTGAAATAAAAAACCAAAGATGAAAAAATGTTGCAGACAGTTAGCAGCTAGATTTTCCAGGGATAATGCTGATCATTGCACATTTCTTCAAGTGGAATTTTAGGCGGTTCAACACATTTATTGATTCCCTGATGCCTAGTTTTGGGAGAAATGACATCCACAAAGTCTACTTTGGCTGCTGGAGGATAAAATGTATTATGTGAGCAAACAGGAGGCAACATGAAGCAGTAGAATTGTCCTTAAAGGTTATTTACTGTATTCAAAGCATTAAGGTAGCAGCAAACAAATATTTGCTATGTTAAGATATAGAGGAGTTCATAAGACAGTTGGAATATGAGCTGGTCTGCTCCTTGTTTATATAAGCGGGCCGCTACACGAATCCTGCTGTAGCCAAGGCATGACCCGCTTTGGCTAGTTCTCACTGCCATCATTGGTTGGATTGGTTAGGTGTAGGCACGAAGAGTGGGAGTGGTTTAGTATATGCGAGCTGTGCGCTGTGCCCCACTGGTTAGCTAGCAAATGGCCGCAGCTCTACGCTGCCCTCATACTGCGGTGACCGCTGCAAACGACGTAACGTTACTGGACCACGGTGTCATTGCGGAAGTTTAGTCGTAATTTACGAAATGAACATCATGTTGTATTAAAGAAGGCCTGAAACTATGATTGAGGCCATAAACTCATGTTAACAATGTTTACTGAGTTAGTAAATCAAGTGAGAAGTAGGCTCATTTTCTCATAGACTTCCATACAATCTGTCTTCTTTTTGCAACCAGAGGAGTCGCCCCCTGCTGGCCAGTAGAGATAAAGCAAGTTTACGGCACTTCCATATTGGCCTCGCTTTTCTCACCAGGAGCTGTCCGCTTGGGTTTAATTAAGCAACAAACCAACTTGATGAGATTTGGGCTAAGATCATGTTCGGGTTAAACTAAACCCTTTCTGTCAAAAAGCTCTGAAGCTAAACTTCTCCTGCATTCAGTATTGAGCACCTTTACTGTTTATGTTGACTTTTTGACTTTATGGTCATCAGAAAGCCCTTATCAAACAAATACCTTGTGTCAGCAAGTTGAGCCTCCAGGTCTGTAAAATCAAACCTGTCTCTTTATTCCTGTGTGGTTGTAATGAAACCCCCCTATATACTCTGTCCCTATACAAACGCACATCTAGATGTTTATTGTGGAGGTGCGCAGTGGGTTTGCAGCCTTGCATCCAGCTCAACAACTCGTCTGCTGCCATAGCAACTGCGGAGGAGCACGGAGCAGCGCCGCCTGCCCGTGCAATGGATGTCACTCGTAGCAACGACCAATCAGAAGTTCCCATCCTTTTGTGCGAGCGGGTGTGAAAATGGAGGGATGGAGTGGGTGGGCTTTCAGCATCATGTATCTGCCAGTTATAGGACACACTGATCGTCAGTCTTCGTCATTCTAGGCTGCGATTGGTCGAGGAGCTTTACTTTCCAATAATATAAACATGTCTACTGCTTGCCTGGCTTGAACCAAGGCTTACAAGGGACTATGCAGTTCTACATCAAACTGTATAAAACTCTCATTATGCATTTGCCTTGTGTTGTTGCAGGGCTAAATCTTTATTATTGGTAGAGAATATGCACATAGCTGCACGTGCACGCGTGAGGAAACGAGGATACCCTGCTGTCGCTGCTGCAAGAAAGAGAGAGGGGATTCTGCCGTGCTTTCATCAATATAATCACCATCCTAAGTACTAGCTCTTAACATTTTGTTTTTCGGTGTTCAGGCGAGAAGTGACAAGAATATAGACCCCTCCTCTGCAGGGCGGAGCGTGCATTTTCATTTCGTATTTTGTATTTTGTATTTTTTTTTTTCTACCCCTGTTCCCTGCTCTGACACGTCTGCACTGAGTGAGTGGCATTGGCACACTGTCAATCGCTCACTACCGCTGCCATCAAACAACATAAAACACACACAGGCAGAAGCAGGAGCTCATAAATTTCAGCAGGGCTAGATATTTTTTTTCCGCATCGCCTTTATACAGCGTTGTGTCCTAATTAATTTTTTCTCGTTGTTGCTTTTTTTTTTTTTTTTTTAAACCGAAATCTCCCAACTTTTTTTTGTACATTTCATATTTTTATAGACACATTTGGACACCTTATGCCGCAGATTGTGTATTTTTTTTAATGCTGTCAGTTGTCGCGGGAATCATTTCTGCACATTTATAGTTGGCAACACCTGCAAGATTTTTTTATTTGTTTACACGTTTCCACATTGGATATTTTTGTTGCCGGTGCTTCGCTAGGAGGATTTGGACATTTTGGAGAAGGAATGCGCCGGGAATCCCACGAAGAGCGCTAATAAATGAGAGATCACAAGGAGCGTTTCTGTCTACACCACCCGTTAAATCCCAGAGAAAAGACAGATTGGCATGAGGATCCGCGCGGATACGATGGACCGTCAATTTTGACAAAGAAGTGTTAAGAAGAAGAAACAAGATTTATGCATTTTTCTACAAACATAGTTACGCGTTTTGGCACTTTGGACCGCGCGTAAAAAAGCGAGAGGACAGCAACTTGGACACAAGATTTACGCTTTAACATCACTGCTATCGGCTTTTTCTTTTTTAAACAAACGTGTGTAGCCTGTGTCGCTGAAGAATCTCAGCCGTGCATCCTTCTTATCTGCGGCACGTGTTATAACCGATTTCGTATATGAGTTTTTCAATTTGTGTGGCTCAGTGCACAGACTCTTTAGCGGCTAGTATGGACGATCAAGCCCGGATCATGCAGTCGATCGGCGGTGTCAGTCTGGCTGGCCACTCGGTACAAGGAGGCATGGCATTGCCGCCTCCACATGGACACGACGGGACAGACGTAGACGGAAGAAAGCAAGACATTGGTGACATTCTCCATCAAATAATGACCATAACTGATCAAAGTCTGGACGAGGCGCAAGCAAAGTTGGTTGATTTATATGTTTTATTAACTTCGCCCCCCCCCCCCTTAAAAAAAGCACAAACGCTGAACGCATCGTTATTGAGATGTGGCCCGCTTAACTTAACTCCCTCATGCATAACAATAGGCTAAAGTGGCTTTAATGATAATCATACACTGAGGTGTATTTACTGCCTTGCAAATAATAAACACATGAGAAAGTTGTCACTGAGGGTACAACAGCATTATATTTTAAGTGCTTATGTGCTAACTGAACCTGAGTGAGCTTGTGTTCCAAAAGTTTGTGTGCACACGTCCTATATGTTCATATATCTTCAAACTATAACTTGTGCTGGAAAATTGAAGCTCCTGTCAGTAGGCTCATTATATAAATTAGATGTCATTGGACATTATATATTAGTCTAACCCGATTAACCAATACTTTTTTTTTTTTTTTACTGTACAGTAGCAAATTATAACTTTTAAGAGACGTTTGGGTTGAAACATTGCAAGGCATGACATAGTCACAACTAAACCTAATATCTAATCCATTTACTTTTTATGTCTAACATGTGATTTATCAGTGAATTTATTTCAGTATTATATTTTGTCTTATACTGAAACAGGAAACATGGACTGAACTGTCACAGAATGAAACCTGCACTCTTCAGCGTTCTCTGTGAAATCAAAGAAAAGACAGGTAAGATCTTTCTGTAAAAACATGTTTGAATATGAACTCAAAGAAAAAATAAAATTGGAGCATCAATACAACAGCACACAGACACACACCTCCCAGTGATCCGATGGCAGCCTGCATCCAGGTTACAGGAGACCTCTGGCCATATTAATCAATCACTTTTTTTCTTTCTAAATATGTCATTGTGCCTCACAGAAACACTCCTGTTGTCATAGCAGAGGTTGATTCCCCCCCCCCCCCCCACGGTTTCGGCAGGAGCATCTTTCTCCAGCACTGGTTGCTTGGATTTAAACAGAAAGTGACCCCCAGCTTTCACCCTCACTACCCTGGCACCGAACAGGATGGGGAAATCCCGTAGCATATGCTCTACATAGCTGAGATCCCAATGAATTCATGCTTTATAACCTGACACAAATTGCCAGGTTTTCAACATATGAAGGCAAAAAAACACTCTCAGTCAATAATTGTACGGCAATTGCATGCAGACTCCTGTCCTACAAATGTAATAAATGTAAATAATAGAATCAACTTGTAGAAAATTATTGAAAAATAATTTTGGAAAGAATAATTGCATATTAGGCATTTGCTTTTAATAAGTATCAAGTCTGCAGATTTCTATAACCAGTGTTGAAAACCTGCATTGCGTGTGCACGCATTAGACACATATATGAGAGACTGCTGAAATTATAGCTAATGTTTTCATGACTTGTAACTTTTTCTAAAGCCTAAACTTTGGTATATTATATTTTTGAAAAGTCACCTTTGTACAGACAGATTTCTGTACACTTTCCCCGTAATGTTTATGAGATAATATAATCAGGTTCTCTTAAAATTCTTAAATGAAACATAATTGATTTTTATGGTAATAAAAGATTTTTACAAACCAGGTATATTATGCCTTATATTTATGTGATTGTCCTGTTCATGAAAAATAGAAACATAGTACAGTTGAACAGATGCTTCAAATGTTCAAACTACTCTGCATCACTATTTACTTTCCAAATATAATGTTTGACTGTTTTCTCAGTCAAAGGAAATATATGAAGACTGCAGTGCTGTGGGTTTGGTGTAATTTAGCAAACCTGATGCCTTGTCATATTTGTGACCTTTGTGCAGTTTATGAGGGAATTGGCTTGGGAGAGATCATAAAAGTTTATGAACTTCCCCAACACAGGTGGCGTCCACAGGGGCAGGCAAGAGTGTCCACAGTCTAGCCGAGGTTATCTCCTCTGTGTGTGTGTGAGTGTGTGTGTGTGTGTGTGTGTGTGTGTGTGCGCCTGTTGAGTTTACATAATGAAAGAGACAGAGCGAGAAAAAACAGAGGCTGCAGATCGCACATCACACAAGATGCCAGCTTTTATTTTGTATGTGACCATTGATTTGATGTGAAAGTGTTCTCCAGCACAGGGGCTTTGCTGCCTCTCTAGAATGTAGTCCTCACAGAAAAAACATACTAAACAGGTGACTTTATTTTTAAACCTATACGTCACATTAAAATCCTGTTCCAATTAGTCGGCAAGTTACTTTAATTGGAGGATCTACCGATTTGTTGGTTGAAACTTGTATGACGGCTCCAGTTTAAATGCTTCTGCTGTGAACTGAGCTCTCATGTTTAAATAAGCCACTCAATGTGCATGAAAAAAGTAGATGAAAATCACAAAATTGTGAAATAAATACATTCACATGTACGTTTTTTATGTGCCCGGGAATGAGTGTGTCTGACAAAGAGATGAGACGGTGGAGGAGAGAGAGAACAAGTGTGTGTGTGTGTGTGTGTGTGCATGGTTAACCTGTGGTTTAGAGTCACAGCCTCCCCCTCTTAGCCATTGACAGAGCTCAGCTGGTCTGGTGGCCTTGTTGACCGGCCTGTTTCTCCAGCACACAGTGAGTCTTTCACTGGCTCCTGTGTTCACAGGGCTTCCTTGGCCCTTTCATGTCCATTCACATGGCACAGGGGCCGCCGTCTTTTAGCCATGGGATCCACCGTTGGCTGATCTTGACTTTTTAATAATACATTTGAAAGCGGTCCAAGGATCATCGGCGTAATTGCTGCGCGCATGTATCATGTTATCGATACTTATTGTCTAGTGTGCAGATACATAGTGAGTTCAGGGTTCCGCTTCAAAGCTTTTAGTGTTCATGTTTAAAGTATTATTTTGTGATCAGTGGTGAGAACAGTCTTACTCTGGAGTTTCTCGTGGAGAAAAAGAAGACCATTTTCTAGAAATAGCAGGAGATCTTGAAGCCGTTTCAGGGTGTTCGGAAGTTTCTGGCACTCTTCTAACTTGTTATTGTAGAGCTACAACATATTTCTGCATTGCTAATGCCCTAGAAGTATTAATTCACTTTGATATGCTAATTAGAGAGCATTATGCAAGAAATGAGATTAAGTGGCAGCATGAAGTCATTTGCCTGTCACTAAATTGAGTGTTTTTAGCAGGAGGGGTTTTTTTCCCCAAAATTTCCTTGGTTTTGCATTTAGATAAGCTAAATGTGAGATTCGGTTTGCAAGTGGACTTCTTTGTCCTTCAGTTTGTGATAATTTTCTTTTGGAACATATATATATATATATATAAAAATGGCAGTTAAAATGTTTTATTGTAATGTTTCCAACAGCTTCAGGACAAAGGATACATTCATGTACCTTTTCCCCTGTAGACCGCCTGAGAAGACAATGAATGCATTGAGTGAAAATTGCCTGCGATTCAGATGAGCTTTGCAGTTATTCCTCTGTGCTGGGGTTTGTTTTATCCTGCTGCCTACTCCCTTGTCTTGCTCTCGTGCTTGGAGGAGAGGCTCACAGCAGCAGCAGTGGGAGCGGCAAGAATAACAAAGGTGAAAGATTACCTCCATATGGTATTTCTGACCAGGAAAAGAGAGGTTCTGTAGCAAGACTCTTTTTTGATGTGAGGTTTAATCAATAGAAAGAGATTACAGAAAACTATTACAGGCTAAATCACGGAGTGCCACAGAGAGGCTTAGCCCTCTCCACAGCTCTCTCAGCTGCATGGCGCTTCTTTTGGCTGCGTATTGACTTGTTGTTTTCCTGACCTTTGACTCATCAGGTTCAGAAACAGGGGGTCTGGAGAGGTAGGGGGGGAGGGAGAGAGAGAGAGAGAGAGAGAGAGTGTGGCAGATACAGGCTGATAAATGCTCCGATCCAGTGTTTAAAGCAGTGGATTAGGGAGGGACTACACTCACACTCTCGAGCCAATGTCGGCGTTTTGTTGCACATGTTTGATTTGGCTCCTGAAAAACGCTAAACATGCGTTCGTGTTCGTGTATGTTGATCAGTTCGTCTGCATTATATATAATGTTCAGCAAGGAGAGACTGTGTTAATTAAATACAGTTCAGGATGAGCCTGTAATTAACCACATGCAAGGCCGACTAAAAGCATTACCTGGAGTAAATAGAGTTAGGACTGAGGAGGTAAGCATTTCTGAAATCTACAGGAAACATTAATTTCAATGTTCCCTGACAAAGTTAATGACTTCTCTCATTCCAATTGGGATATTAATAATATAAATGTATTATAATTATTATTAATAATAATATAATTATAATTATAATCATTATTATAGCAGCTGCCGCTAAAGTAAAAATAATTCCATTTACAAGCCATGGAACATAGAAAACATGTTGTGTTTGACTTGATTTTTCTACCTTGAGGGTATTCTCGGTCCTAAAGAAAAAAGCTCCAGTAAATGCATGACAGAGAACAGAAAGCTATTCAGCAGGCAAGACAATTGACTTTGGCTGCTTTTTGTCTCAGAGAGCCCCAGTGATGCGGCTGCAGTGACTAGATAGTGTTGTGCCGAATGGCTCGCACACAGCTGGGTTCCTGACTGGCTCAATGGCAGGGCCACTAGTGCTTCCTCCTCTAAAGCACGAGGGGGACCGGGGAAGATGTGGCTATTATCTAAGTAGCTCCCAAATACCCTCCGTTTCCCCATCAGCAAAAGATGAAAAGAAGAAGAGCCAGACAAAGAGGAAAGGGGGAGGAAAAAAAAAAAGTATAAACATCAGTTTCATTTGGAAGGCTAAATGCTTTTGTGCTGAGGAGATAGATGCCTCTGCACCGGTGCTGCCTGGTGTCTGCACGCATGGCTCCTCAAATCTTTTTTTTTTGTACGATGATTCAGTGCTGTCCCTCCATCTGCACACACACGAGCACCCATCTTGCAAACGTCTCCCTCGCTCCCCCTCCATCGCTCCGAGCGTTTTCTGCCGGCTCCTGCGCGATCAACAGCTCATAATTGTTTTTTGCACATACGTTATGCAAATGAGTCTTTATGGCAACTGGCACAACAATTAGCATCCTCCAACAATATTTTAGTAGGTTAATTGCAAAATTTCTGAATTGTACATCTGAGTTGTTAATTAGGCATGACAGAGGTGGTGAAATAGTTATCTTCAGGCGGTGGCAGCCAGCAGAGGCTGCTTGGGATGCAAAGAGGAAGGATTGATTGAAATGAGTTTGCAGCAGTAGCAGCGTGTCTGTTTGAGACTCTTTGCATGCCCCCTTTTTGCCTTTTGAGGCGTTTGCCTGTCGCTGAATGTAGAAATATAAACCCGAAGCAGGCAGGGAGAAGCTGGATCAAACTATGACCCCCTGTAGAAATAGATTAAACGTGAACGATACAACTTGTTGTCTTGTCGGCATGAGTTACCAAGGATTTTTTTTCATGCATCACCGGGGCTGCACTCTTGTCAAAACAATAAAAGACCTTTGACCAGCCAGACATAGCCAAGTGTTTCTTCTCCAGAAGTTACAGTATGGAATTGTTTAAATAAAGTTAATGCCAGCAACACACACTGTTAATATTTCACTCTTTTTTTTATGAGGCAGGATTACAAAAAAAGAAAGCGTTTCCTTGTTCATTCTTGGCACCAGAAAGAAAATTAAAAACCCATCAACCCGTGTTAATGAAACACACAGATGCAAAAGATGAAATTAACTTTTGATGCTTTCATGATTATGAGAAACAATATTATTATGTAA